GCTGCTCGTAGCCTTGTAGTAGGGTAAAGGATGAATATCTTACAAGTGCTGTTTGTTGTTGGCAGGCATTCAAAAAGCAAGCTAAAATTTTCAAGCACAACGTGACTGAAAATTCTAGCAAGCAAATTAGTCTTCCAGAGAACATTTGTGAACTGGAAAGAAGCCAGAAAACTAGAAATAAAGATGATTTAGTATTAATACAAACCGGTAAGAGGTCATTAAGAGAGCAATGCATGGAGGTATGTTATATTCTGGATATTTCTTGGGAAAAAAATGGCTTCTGGCCTTCTCTTTTCTGATCCTTTGAGAATCTGACCACAAGAGTGTAAGGAGAAGAAAAGAAAAGAGCTTGGAAGTTGCTCTGAACTAATAAGCTCCCTCCAAAGATCTGCTCATTCTATCTCTGCTGCTGGTTTGGAGAACAAGTGGTCAACCCCTACCTTGTAGGCAAATTGCAACTTGAGTAATAACATTTCTGTTTATCAAAATTTTTATTGCAATTTCAACTGTATCGTTAAGTCTTCACTGTCTTAAATTTCATTGTTTAAGAGTATGTATCTCCCTCTTCAGTGCTATGGTTGAGTTTACCTGTGGTGGTTTCTGTGTCCTTTTGCATTTTGCAAAGTGAATGAAATTATTCAGAGTTCTTTAGAGCTGTAAGGAATTCAATTAACATTTTTAATGATCCCATCGATTGCAGTCCTATCCAGTAAATGCTCCAGAATGGACCACAGTGTGGAAGGCACTGTGCATCACTAGCTAGCAGGCAGAAGGTCCTTTGAAGTGGTTATTTTTAAAGCAGGCAAGAGAAGTGACCTAACATATGATGTGACAGCACTAAGCAGGGTCTTGGGTCTATGATACCAGGGGTTCAAAACTCAAAAGGGAGAGATGAACAGATGAGTGACATTTGTAGATATTGAATGTTCCACTGTGGTCATCTGGTCTAATCTCCAGCACACAACATGCACCAGACTGGCTGTCACTGAAGTAAGGGTGATCTTCTGAGTTCTAGTTTTCGTTGCCTACTTGGAAAAAGATTTGGTTGTAAGGTTTATGGAACTTACAAAATAAGTGGCAAAGTAGTTTTTCCCCTAGCCTTGTATTGTGACTTTTTTTGCAGGATAATTTTTTGAAAAATCAGTTCCGGGCTGTGCATCATAGAATTCTGCACACACACAAACATTTGATTAAGGTTGCAAACTCTAGAGAGCTTCTTCACATGAAATCAGTGAACCCCCCATGTCAGTGTAACCCTAGCCTGCCTTGTAGCTGTTGCCTGTCACGTGGACCAAACTGTCTCCTTGTTTCATTGCTTTCTTTCCTCTGGATGGATCCTTCAATCATCTGGCACAGTCTGTGGGACTGCTCTCCAATAAGGTGGGTCTGGTCCATGCTTAGTTGCTATGCCCAGGTCTGATAAAGCTGTTGAGTACAAATTTTGCAGCAAGGCAACAGATCTTGGCTGAGAATGTTAATTTAGACTTAAATATCTGTGTAAAAATAACTTCAATTGGTTTGAGTATTTTTCATTTCATTCTCAGCTTGAATCAGTCAGTTCTCTCAATCTGTTCTGCTACAGGAAATAGGTATCAATCGTATCTTGATTTTCTGGTTGTTCTGTAATGATAAATCTGTGTTGAAAGTAATCTCTGTCTGTGCTCAGCACCATTCCTTAATGATAAAATAAAATACAGGCAGTAGCTGACGATGTTTCTTGATAAACAAACCTACGTCTTTTAACTAGGATTTCCAGTT